CATGATGGGTATCCTGCTTGAACAGGGAGGGCTAAGGAAGTTATTTCACTATGTGGAGATACACAGGTGCACTGAGAGGCCACTGCTGCCATGATCTCTAGGAGCTTAGCTATGGTGTGAGCTGGAAGCAGACCTAGGTGTCATTCATGTGGTGCTGGTTCTGCAGAAATGCAGGATACTAAAGTTAAGGGGTCATGGAGGTGTCCATCAAGATTTCAAAGGAAATCACTGTGGGGTGCTTCTCAGAAGGCACCACATGAACCTGTAAAGGTGAAGCCAAAACTGGAAAGAGGACTCCAGAAACTAAGAGATGCTAGTACTGTGGACTGCCTGACAAGAAAAGCTACTGGCTGTGGAGAGAGCAATGCTGCAAGAGAGGCCATATGGGCTGCCCAAGTCCTTTGGAAATATCTCTCCGCCATGTGTCCCAGATGCTGTATTTGGAGTTACCAGATTATTTGCCCACCTGTGTTTCCATTTTGCTTTGGCCTCATTTTGTCTTTCATGCCACTTTTCCTTCTTTTGGAATGGGCATGTTCACTCTGTGCCATTGTATGTTGGATATACGTGCCTATATATGTGCCTTGCTTTTGATTTTTCCATGGGCTCACAGTCGGGTGTTTGCCTTGAGTCTCAGAGGAGACTTTTGACTTGGGCTGGACTTTTGGACAATGCTAAAGCTCATAAGACTATCAGCTCTTGGAGAGGAACTAAATGTGTTTTGTAATGTGAGATGGACATGAGCTTTTGGGAGCCAGGAGCCGAATGTTGTGATTTGGATATGAGGCATACTGTTAATGAAAAGTCCCTGTTCATGAAAGAATATTCAGAGGTAAAATGAGTAGATTATGAGAGCCGTAACCTAATTGGCCCATCCTCATTTGAATAACTGGGTGGTGACAATAGGTAGGTGCATGGAGGATGTGTGTCACTGGGAGTGTGCCCTGGAAGGGTTGTTTTTCCTGCAGTCATCCCCTCCACTTTGCTGCCCAAAGGGGAGTAGCTTTCCTCTGCTGGATCCTGTCCCCATGATGTGCTGTCTCACTTTGGGCCCAGAGCAATGAAGTCATCTGCCTAGGGACTGAGACCTCTGAAACCGTGAGCCCCAAATAAACTTTTCCTCCTTTAAGTTGTTCTTGTCAGGTGTTTTGGTCACAACAATGAAAAATCTAGGTAAATTGGGAATGGCTGCATGGGGCTATAAGAAAATCAGAGTTCTGAGGATGCAGAGGAGCAGACAGAAGGTTGAAAGCATGAGAAGGGACAGAGGCACACAGGAGAGCTGACACTAGAGAGTGGCCATGTCAAGGTGAAGTTGTTGTGCTGGAGAAAAGCCCCGGCGCTCCTGCTGCTGGAGCCCTGGTGCCATCTTGAATTCTTACAACCCTCATTTCCAAGCTCTATGGTCACAGGGCATGGTGTGTTCCTGGATTTCAGGGAGATTCTGGCTCCCTTTTTGTGTCATGTAATTCCTTTATTGCCTGAGTTACCCTAAGTGGCTTGCCGTTCTTTAGGGGCTCGCTGCCAACATGACAAAGGTATCCATTGGGGCCCACACCAGCAAGGGCTGCCCTAGTGGACCCTGTGTGTGTGCAGGGGAGCCTGGGTCAGTGTCTGAGGGGTTAGTTCCTCTGCTCACAGGCTCTGTGTTCACAGTAGGACATTAATTCCTCAAGGATATTGGCCCTCTTGCCTTTTTTTTAAAAAAAGCATTCTTAGTTATTATATATATATATATATACACATATATATACACATACACATATATATAAAATAAAATTTATAAATTTTATTTATAAATATAATTTATATATTATATATTTTACATACATAAATATATATGATAAATATATATGTAACTACATTTTATACATAGATTGAATATACCTTATCTGAAATGATTGGGACCAGAAGTGTTTGGAATTTTGGATTGTTCTGAATTTTCAAATATTTTGAAATGAGATATCTTGGGGATGGTTTTAGCCAGCTTTTGTATCATTGTGACCAATATAACTGACCATGAATAATGTAGAGGAGGAAGTTTATTTTGGCTCACGGTTTTGGAGATTCAGTCCATAATCGGCTGACTCCATTGCTCTGGGACTGAGTGAGGCAGCACATCATGGAGGAAGGACGCGGTGGAGGAAAGGAGCTCAGGACACGGCGACCAGGAAACAGAGATCCACTCACCAGACGAAGTCTAAACCCAGAGGCACACTCCAGGGGCCTGCCTCTTCTAGCCACACCCTACCTGCCCACAGTTAATCCATATCAGTGGATTAACCCACTGATGAGGTTACTAGTCCCATAACCTAATCATTTGTCTCACGTGTGAGAGTGAATGCCGTAGCGGGAAGATAATTCATACAATGTGTTCTGCCTGCCGTGCCCACGAGGCTAGGTGTGGAATTCTCCACTTGAGGCATCATGTCAGTGCTCAGAATTTTCAGATTTTGGAACATTTGGGGTTTTGGATTTTGGAATTAGGGATGCTCAACCTGTATAATATGAAAATATAGAAATATATATAATACAATATGTAAGCATGACAAAAGCATATGTATTGCAGATACAGTAAAAATTAGATTGAGATGGGGACTAGTGTTTAAAGTGTATGTTAGGGTAAAATTGTGAACAGTCACCTGGAGTGGAGGTGCCTGCCTATAGTCCTAGTGACTGAGAAGGCTGAGGCAGGAGGATTGCAATTTGAGGCCAGCCTCAGCAACTTAGTGACATCCTGAGCAACTTAGAACCTGTTTCAAAATAAAAAATAGACAGGGCTGGAGATGTGGCTCATGGTTAGGCACCCCTGAATTCAATCTCCAGGAAAAAAAAATATATATATATCAAAATTATGCCTGAGAATCTTCCAACTACCTATGGAACCTATATTCACGGTTTGGATAACAGTATAACCACCACAACCCTGTGTGATAGAATGTGATGATAAATGCAAGCAGATACCAATCCTTCCCCAGAACTCTTACTAAAGAGGTACAAATGAGAAAACACAGATTCCGGTTCCCATCCTTGCCAAATATTCAAAATGGAAAAAATTGTGATCATGATTTGCATGACTTTTTCCACCCCAAATGGCAATTGATTAATTCCTGTGGGCAAAGAAGTCTCTGTGCCATTCCCTGCAAGGCAGATAGCTTCTAAGATTAGTTTAATTGGAAGCCTCGTGGTTTCCCAAGAGTTCAGTAGATTTAATAATTGGCACATGCATAATAACTCCATTAAATCAGGAAACAAAAAAATCATAGAAAGGGAACAGTAAACAACCCAAACAGTGAAGCTGGCATAATCCCCATAATGAAAACTAAGCTCTTAAGTTTCCTGGAGGTGAAGGGAACAAAGGGAAATCCTGGACAGGAAAGATGGCTGTTTATTTATATACATTAACTGAAAGAGGGGGGTTTTCAATTTTTTTCATTGGTACAATTTTTTTCATGGCTATCCTGTTATTTTTGCCATACACTCTATATTCTAGTCCTCATTTGTAAGCAAAATACCCATTTTGTGTCCTTCTAGAATTTTTTTTGTGAATAGCCAAAGATGTCATGATTGTCCCCAACAGCTGTTCCCCTTACCACTTGCTTTTTTTAATATTTATTTTTTAGTTGTAGTTGGACACAATACCTTTATTTATTTTTATGTGGTGCTGAGGATCGAACCCAGGGCCTCTCACTTGCTAGGCAAGCGCGCTACCACTGAGCCACAACCTCAGCCCACCACTTGCTTTTCTGCACCTTGATTGTTTTATTTAATAACAACGTGCAGGCTTTTCCATATCGGTGGACAGAGTCCTCTTTATTTGGGCTGCCATGATAGAGTACTGTGGTCTGTGTATTTCACAGACTGTAGAAATGTATTACTGTCAGTTTGGAAGGCTGGGAGGTCCAAGATCAAGGCACTGGCAGATTCAAGGTCTGGCGAGGGCCTGGTCTTCACAGATGATGGTCTCCTTTGGTGTCCTCGCTTGGCTGCAGGACCAGCCAGGTTCCCTGAGGCATGAAGGTGGTGTGCTCATGAAGGCCCCAGCTGAGTCACAGCATATGGTAGTAGGTTCCAACACGTAAGTTTTAGGGGAACACCAGCATTCAGACATGGCAGGAAGCTCCTTATTCCTTCTCAGGACCTCGTTCTCTGGTTTAGTTTAATTGCTTTCACTAGCACCCTACTGAGGTCATTTGGGTTACTTCCATTTTTTTATGCTATTGTAAACCAAGCTTGGGTGAATAACCTAATATAGCCAGGTGCGGTGGTGCAGGAGGATTGTGAGTTCAAATCCAGCTTCAGCAACTTAGTGAGGCCCTAAGAAACTCCGAGAGACCCTGTCTCTAAATAAAATATAGAAAAGGGCTGGGGATGTGGCTCAGTGGTTAAGCACCCTTGGATTCAATCCCTGGTACCAAAACAAAACAAATGGAGAGTTCACGTCTGTGCAGGAGGGGTTGTGGCACTTTCCCTAGAGCAGATTGCTGGGCCAGCAGTGAACTGTCACCTAACTGCCCTGCCCTGGGGTTCTGTGCAGTGAGAGGATGGAGCACCATGGGACAACACATGCCCGGAGTAGAACCCTCCTGCTGCATCCCAGGGGAAGGGGAAGGATGAGAGAATGGTTTATCAGCTCCAGGCACACCTTGGAGGTCCTCTGCCACCCTGCCAGACAAAATTTTGCAAACAATGAAACCGAGTCTCAGAGAGGTTAAGAAGTTCATGCATCATCTCAAGGAAGTTGTAGCGTCTTGGACCCAGGCCTGGCTCTGAAGCCCAAGTTGGTTCCCGTGGGCCACAGTCCTGGGGCCAGGGAAGACCCCCAAGCAGGCCCTGGTGTCCTCCTGGGGCTGCTTCCGTCAGCGTTCGGGAGCATGGACAGCAGACCTGGCTTCCCAACCAGTTTATTCTCGTGCTGCCTGGATCCTGTGTCCAAGCCCAGCCTCCTCCCCCTCCTCTCCCACCAGGGCCCCAGGGCCCCAGGGCCCCAGGGCCCCAGCTCACAGGGGAGCCTTGTGGGTGGAGCAGGGCTCCTCCGGGTGTGGGTGCGGCTCTGCCAGGAGAGCGTCCAGCCAGGATTCCAGGTCCCGCACCAGCCGCTCCAGCTCCTTCACTTCTTCCTCCAACGTCTCCAAGAAACCATGCAAATTCTTCTTCACCCAGTTCCTGAGGACTTTGATCGGCTCTTCAGCAGGGTCACTGGGGTGATAGTAAAAGCCCTGAAAGGCACCAGGGTTTGTACGGTGAGATCTCGCTGTGGGCTTCTGGTTTCCTGGGGTTCCCCAGGGCCCTGGCACATGCTGTGTTTTGTGCCTGGAGCACCCCTCCCGGCCTGCCCCACCTGGCCAGCTCTTGTTTACCCCCCCCCCCAGCCCAGCTTGCCAACCACACCCCTCCGGGAAGACCTCCTAGTCCCGTACCTCAGTAGTCCCTCTGTACATTCCTAAAGCTGTTACCTGGGGAGACACAGGATGCTGGGGGTGGCCACATTCCCTGATCCTTTCAGACATCTCCCAGCTTCTTCCTGTAACAGGCACAAAGGCCACCTCTTAATAGGAGCAAGTGAGGGTTGGTTGGAATAAAGGATCTGTCTTCTCCGGGAGGAAGGGAAGGTAGGAAAAAGCAGTTGAGGCTCCTCTGCAGACATTCATCCCGGGGGAAACCCCACCCTCCCCTCCGTTCTCAGGTTCCGGAAAGGCTCACCTGATATTCCTGTGGTCAGGTACAGCACCAAGACCAGCAAGGCCAGCAGCGTCTGGGGGCAAGAGGAGAAGGGGAGGGTCAGGAAGGTGAGTCCTGCAGGCAGAGGGCCGGGCGTCAGGGGGGACCCTATGAGAGAGTGTCTAGAACTCAAGTTTATTTCTGGTTATCCAAGTCACCACACTTACTGCCAAACCCCCCAAATACTGCGGAAGTTTGCCGAAAGGGAAGGCCCGCCTCTGCGCTCTCTCCTTGAGTCCCTTTTGAATTTTTTATTTTAATTGATCTTTAAAAGAAATCAACTCCAGCCAGGCACCGTGGTGCACGCCGGTAATCCCAGCCACTCGAGAGGCTGAGACAGGAGGATCGCAAGTTTGTGGCCAACGTTGGTGATTTACTGAGACCCTGCCTCAAAACAAAAAGTTAAAAAGGCTGGGGATGTAGCTCAGTGGTAGAGCACCCCAATTTCAGTCCCCCAGTACCACAAAGAAAAAAATGATTAACTTAATCACAGTTATAATTTATAGACAATGAAATGTACATATGGGTTTCAACGCATAGGTAGATGAGTTCTGACAGATGACTGTACCTGTGGACTATCTATCGCCCCAAAGATCTGAAACATGTCCATCATCTTAGGAAGGTCCCTTTGCTCCTTCGAAGACAGCTCCCTCCTTACCCTGACTCTGCTGGAGGGAGCCACTAATGTGCTTCCTGCCACCCGATGGTCATTTTTGCCTGTTCTGTAACTTTGTAGAAATGGAATCGCAAGGTATATGCCTTTGGTTTAGTTTATCTTGCTCAATATGCTTCTGAGAAGCTTCTGTGTGTTCTGTTTTATTGATGAATGTTTATGTGAAATGAATATAGCACAAGGAATCTCTCCACCCGTTGATGGGCTCTTGGTGGCTTCTGGTGTGGGGCTATCATGGATTAAAGTGCTGGGATCATATAGGCACACACCTTTGTGTGGACATGTTCTCATTTCTCTTGGGCTAATAGCCAGATACGGAAATAATGGGTATTGTGGTAAATTGATGCCTAGTTTTACAAGAATCCACTCAACTGTTTTGTGGGTATTTCTTCCATTTTTATATTCCTGCCAGCAATTCATGAGAGTTCTAGTTGCTCCGTATCCACGTCAACACTTGGTACTGTCAATCATAATTTTAGGCTTTCTATTGCTGTGTAGTGGTATCTTAATCTATTTTTATATTAATGATTCCTAATTTATATATCTTTTTTTGTGATGTGTCTATTAAAGTCTCCAGTCCATTTATTTTTTATTGGACTATTTGTGTGCCGGCAATAGTCCTTTATGTATTTTGGATATTAGTCATTTGATAGGTATTTGTCTTGTGAATATTTTTTCCAAGTCTGTGGTTTGTCTTTTTATTTTCTTACCACTGTCTTTTTTAGATCAAAAGGTTTCAGTTTTGACGGAGTCCAATTCATAAAATGTTTTCCTTTTGTGGGGATGCTTTTAGTGTGAAGTCTAGAATACTTTGTCTGCTTCAAGGTCATGATTTCCTCCTGTTTTCTTCTAGACATTTTTTATTGTTTTAGCTTTTCATTTAGGCATCTGATTCATTTTAAGTTAGTTTTGGTATGTAATGTGAAATAGGGATGGAGATTTTTTTTTCATATAGATATCAAGTTGTTCTAGAATTGTTTCTTTAAAAAGACGAATTTTTCCTCCTGGCATTACATTGGCATCTTTGTCAAAAACCTGTCCACATATTATGTGCACCCATCCCTTTCTCAATTCTATTCTGTTTCATTGATCAACATTTCTTGACATCAGAGCTATAGCAGTATGAGTCTGATCTGCTAGTGCTGCCATACAGAATACCACAGATTGGACGGCTTTGACAGTAGAAGTGTGTTTTATCCTAGTTCTGGAGGCTGTCAACCCAGGTCAAGGTGCTGGCAGGGTTGGGAGTCATCTCTCCTTAGCTTTCTTGCTGTCACCTTCTCATTATGTATCCACAGGATTTCCCCCTCTGGATAATAAAGGTAAAAATGTCTTCTTATAATGACACCAGTTTTTGGTATTAGGTTCCCTTGCTTAATTATTCTTTAAAAGTCTTTCTGCAACTATAATCACTTTGAAGTTAAGGTCCTAACATATGAATTTTGGGGACACAATTCTCTCCATAATGACTATGTTGTCACTATTCTGTTCCATTGATGTATATCTCATACAATTCACACTATCTAGATAACTGTTGATTTATAGTAAGATTTGAAATCAGATACTGTGCTTTTTTGGACTTGGTTATTTTTTAAACAATTTTTGGCTATTCTACATTCTTTGCAATTTGTGTACATTTTAGAGTCATTTTTTCCAATTTCTATTTTTTAAAACTTTTGGGATTTTGATGGATACTGCATTGAATCTGTATATTTGGTAAGCATGCATGGCTTAAAATATTGTATCTCCCAATCCATGAACATGGTATATCTTGTCATTAGATTTCCTTTCTTCCTTTTCTTTTCTTTTCCTTTTTTTTTTTTTTTTTTTTTTTTAGGGTTTTGTTTTAACTTTAATTGACAGCCCAGAATAGTGCACATTTTAGTGGCTAAGTATTATATGGTTACAGACAAAATCCTTTGGTCAAGTAGTTACAATATCCTTCATCAGTTATTTCACGTTAAGTACAGATTGTTGAAAAGAAAGAAAAATCAATGCTAGGCTAAGCAGAACACAGATAAACATTTCAATTTTCTAACAAAACCGAATCTAGCACCTTTAAAATAAATATTAGTAACCATTTCACAAGTATGGAATTATCATTTCCATAAGGTTTTGAAAAAGTCCCATTCATCAGCAGTGCAAACTAAAGATAGCATTTTTCGAAGTTGAGATTAAATTATGTCAACACACAGCAGCCCACACAGTAGAAGGGGAGCTTCTTGGTTGAGCTGGGTGTAGACCCAGGGTAGACAAGGGGTTTCTGCTGGGTCTTGGGGTTCCCAGGCTGAAAAGATACCACAAGGTTTTGATCATGGTCTGGAAAGACTTAAATAGAGTTAAAAATGAGTTTGAGCAGGACAGAGTTCTTTTTCTGATGGGCTAACTCATAACATTTCCAGTCCAACCCCCCAAAGGCTTCCACTCCACGGGTGCACATGGTAACAACCCTCCCTGATGCGACCCTGACTCCAGTGGGGGCATCTGAGTGCAGCGCTCGATACAGGTGAGGAGCCATGGACCTAAATTCCCCAGTGGACACAGCTTGGCAACCATGGCATTGTAGGTCAACTCAGGTTCTTAATCCTCTGTGACTGGATGACCTGCATGCAGGGGAATGTCCACGTGAAGCCTTCCCGTTATCACTATTTCAAGCACTATGACTCGAGCTTCCTAGGGTGGCCCTGGCACACACTCTCAGTCACCATGTTTTGTTTCTTGTGAGTACTCCACTCCGTTTTTACACTGAACCTTGGAGCTTCAGGCCTTTTAACAAGTAGACCCAGACATCGCAGGAATCTCTGAGAAGCAGACTCAGCAGCCAGTTATTTGCATTATGATATTGGGGAGAAAAGTCACTGCTAGTCCATGTTTTCTCTTAATCATTTAGCATTTACCAATGGCCCAGACCAAAGGTCATTTCCAAGTAGAAAAGTTCTGATTCCCACTTTTCCGTTGGCCCATGTGTAACACACAACTTACTCTGTTCCCAAACACCTGTGGCAGAACTTGCTTGCTTGGTTGTCACCAACACTGAAGGGACTTTGGACACAGATGCCATAAGAATGATGATCATCAGCAGAGTGCTGCAAATGGTTCTCACCAGCTCGCCTCTGCTAGAATTCTCCTGGTTTTCCTTTAATTTTCTCCTAACAATGTTTTGTTGTCTTTGAGTGTAGAGGCCTCCCAAGTATTGCATGGTTTCTGATGCTCCTACAAATGAAATCTTAAGAAGTTAACTTCCCAATTGTTGTTTGTCTACAGAAATCGAATTGAGTTTGTAGCTTGTGACTTACTTCAAATAGCTCTCTTCTTGGAGAGTTTAGGATTTCACAGATGGAAAATTGAGCTGTCTATGAAGAAAGTTTACCTTCTAGCCTTTCAAAGGGTTGTCAACCTTTCCCCCCTTGACTAGAGCCACCAATGAAATATTAAGTAGCAGAGGAGAAGCTGAACATCTTCATCTTGTCCCCTGTGAAGGAACGAGGGGAAGGGGAGGAAAGTGGAAGCCTTCCATCAAGTGTGCTGTTGGTTCTTCATTGTGGGCTGGTATCAGGGAGGGGTTCCCTTCCATTCCCAGTCCTCTGAGAACTTTAACACGAACAAGCACTGAGTTAGGAATACGTTTTTTTTTTTTTTAATCCACTCTAAAAGTATTCAACAATCCAAAGGATGTAGGACAGCCAAAACAAATTTGAGAGATGATGTAAGGGTCCCCTTACTTCGGTAAATTGTGTCACTTGACTTTTGAATATTGAACCAACCTTGACTTCCTTCAGTTGACTCCACTTGCTCATGATACAACAGCCCTTTTATGTACAGTGGTCCCCTGGCCTCCATGGGCCATGGATTTTAGGATCCCCCTTCCTGTGGATGAAGGAAGCCAGGTGCGAAGAGACACCTATTCTCGATTCATCTACATGAAAATGAAGACCACACACAACTCATCTATGATGACAGAAGTTAGAATCCTAGTGTGGGGTGTGAGGGGGACTGAGGTCCTTGTGGGTGCTGGGAATGTCCTGCAGCTTGATTTGGATGGTGGTGGCCAGATGTGTGCACCCAGCCCCAAAGTCGACCCACCAAAGATGGGGGTGATATATTTCCTCTCCTTGGACTCTGTGAGAAGACACTGAGAGCTGCCCATCCTGTAGAGCACTGGTGTGGTTCAGTGGTCTGGGTGACTTCTCCCTGTCCCACCACTCCTCTGTCAAAGTGCTTTCCAGGTTGGTTTCTTTCCCAGCATGCTTTGCTTCTGCTAGGCTCTCTCTGGTGCTAGCAGGAGGGAAAAGCAGGAACCCACTGGGACCAGAATCTATCTACAGTTGTTTCCTCGTGCTGTCTTGGGGCCTGAGTAGAAACATTTCTTCTCTTTAAGCCTGTTTCTTCATCTGCAAAACTCGAGTTTGAAATATAAATATGCTCGAGGTCTTTTTATTAGGAGAGAGGGCCTCTGGGGGGATGGCTTGGGAAGTGACCTAGGAAACAGCAGTTAGTGGATTTCTTCCCTGTGGGACTTCTCAGGGTCTTCCTGATGGGAACAACCATGTCACTCCCCAGACACAGAACTGTCTGTGATTTTCCTAAAGGGTGCTTCCTGGGCGTGGCACTCGTGGGACCCTCTGCAGGAGCAGCTGCAGGGCCGGGAGCCAGCCTGCACGCCCATCAGAGCTGTGGGTCCAGCATAAGGAGGCATTGGGAACAGGGGCAGCGAGTGAATGAGGATCTTTGGAAAACATATAGGCCAGTCATCCTCTGCTCTGCTCAGACCCTTCAATGGCCTCTTGTCCTCAGAGTGAGGCCCAGTCCTCCATTGTGCCAGCACAGCCGACCTTCCCAGCCTCCTCTACACCTCTCCCGACCTCCACCTGGGAGGCTGTGCCGGGCAGGGCCCCCTCTTGCTCAGGGTTCTGGAATCAGATGGACCTGGTTTCAGTGCTGACATGTCCCAACTGCATGGCCTTCGGGCCTTCCCGATCCTCAGTTTACCCCCCTGTGAATGAGGTAGGTGGCCTGTGCCTCAGGAGTACTGAGGTCAGGGGAGACTGAGGGGGAGGAGCGCCCAGGCTGTGCCCAGCAGGTGGTCTTCCATTCTGGCCCAACCCCCAGGAAGTTTGGATCCCAGCCCTGAGGAGTCTCCAGAGCTCTGTGTTCAGGCAGATTATTCTAGGAACCGTGGGACCCTTCTTGGCCACGAGACAGAAGCCTGGCCCTCCTGGCACACCCCGTCTACTGCTGCTGCTGAGGGTTAGGAAGAGGGTGCTGACGAGGCTTGGGGAAGACGCACCTGGGCCCCTCGGGGGCTCCCCTGACTGGCGTGCAGGGTGAGGTGGGTGAGGACCGGTTCTTCTTGAGGCCATAAGGGTCTGGCAGAGGGAGCTCAGACAGGAGGAAGACAGCTTGCCCTGGCCACCTCACCTGCTTCTTGTCCTCACAGTGGCCGCCCCTTCTCGCCTCCAGCAGCTCGCCAGCCACCTGCCCCATGCTCTCCATCTGTTGGGTTGCCGTGTCCTCAGCTCACTCTGTCTGGATGGACCTGGGACAGGCAGGTGGACCCCTCCCCCACCTCTGGTCACCAGGCATCTCTCAAGCATGAGTTCTGATGTCACAGAAGGTAGGGGACAGGAAAGCCCCACCTTCCCACCACCCTGAGCCCCTTCCCTCACTTTTTTTTTACCCATATAAATGCAGAAAACAGGGCTGGGGGTATGGCTCAAGCGGTAGCGCACTCGCCTGGCATGCGCGGGGCTCTGGGTTCCATCCTCAGCACCACATACAAACAAAGATGTTGTGTCCACTGAAAACTAAAAAATAAATATTTTTTTAAAATGCAGAAAACAAAAGGCTAGTAAGAAATGTGTTACATTTTAGTGTGATTTTTTTCCTGATCTCTTTTCTTTTATATTTGCAAGTTTTATTAAAATGCAATTTTTATTTATTTATTTTTTTGTGGCAAGCACTCTACCAACTGAGCCATATCCCCAGTCCCAAATTACAACTTTTAAAATGCAAAACCTAGTAAAAGCTAGTCTTAATTGAAAATTATATGGGGACCATTGTAGATTCACCTGAAGTTCTAAGAAACAACACAAATATCTGAGCACCTTGACCCAGTTTCCCTAGAGGGGCGTCTTGCACCACTTGAGGACGATATCACAACCACGATGCTGATGTAATCCACCAGTTGTATTCAGCCCAGCCCAGCTTCACTTGTACTCCTGTGTGTGTGTGTGTGTGCATGTGTGTGTGTTTAATTTTGAACAATTTTGTCATGTGTGCAGGTTCTTGTGCCCATTGCTATCATCAAGATACAGAAGAATTCCAAGGGCACAGGGAGCTCTGAGTTGCCCTTCAATGCCTTCTGCTCTCCCAACCCAACCCCAGTGTCCCTAACTCCTGCACATAACAAATCTGTTCTCTATCCTCTGTCATGTAAATGCAACCGAGCAGCAATGTAATCGCTGGCATTGTCCCCTCCTCTCACCACTGCCACATACAGTTGTTTCTCAGTATTCACAGCAGATCGGTCCAGTACCCCAGGAGATACCAAAACCCAGGATGCTCAAGCCTGATGAATAGAATGGCACAGTGCTGAGAACCTGCACACGTCCTCCAGACACTCTAAACAAGCCCCCCCTCCCATGACTTGCCATTCCTAACACAATAGAGTCACTGAGTAAACAACAGTTACACTGTATTCTTTAGGGACTAATGACAAGGTAAAGTCTGCACTGTTCAGTACAAAGTTTTTTTCCAATTATCTTTGATTCATGGTTGGTTTTGATCCGGAGAACCTGTGTATATGCAGGGCAGAACCCAAGAAATCCCCTGGAAATTCTTCCAGGTTGTTGCTTGTATAGTAGTTGATTACTTTTTGCTGTTAAATAGCATCTCATGATATGTGTGCACGACACTTTGTTTAAGCATTCACTCGCTGAAGGACATGTTTAACAAAACTTGTTGAATACCTGGCTGTATCCCCTATGGATAAAGCTAATATGAACATTTTTCTTAGGTTTTTGAGTAAATGTAAGTTTTCTTTGGGGTAAACACCTCTAAGAGTACAATACTGGCTCACATAGTAATTGCATGATAGTTTTCTTAGAAAATGTTACACTGTTTCTTGGAATGGCTGTGCAGTGTACTTTGCCCTCAGCAATGTATGCAGGACTCAGTTTCTTCTCATCTTCATCAATATTTAGTGGTTGGACTATTTTATCTTAGCCATGTTGATAGGTGGATGGTGGGTTATGGTCTGAATGTGTATTTTCCTGCTAACTAATGATTTGTGCGTATTTGCCATCTCTGTGTATTCATGACTTTTGCCTATTTTCTAATTGGATTGGTTCCTCCACAGTTGAATGTTGAGAGTTCCTTGTATATTAGAACTACCAGGGCTTCCGTGGAAATATGGTATGAGTTTGCTAATATTTTCTCCTGGTCTGTAGCTTGTATTTTTCTCTTTCATATAGACTTTCATAGAGAAAAAGTTTAAACTTTTGATGAGGTTCACTTTATCATTATTTCTTTTATGAGCTGAGCTTCCTTGTTAGGGTGCCTGTGTAGCCCCACCTCCCAAAGATTTTCTCCTATTAAAAAAAAGTTGCCTAGTTCTATGACTTACCTTCTAGTCTATGATTCATTTGGAATTAACTTTGGTGTAAGGTGTGAGGTTAGATCAAGCTTCTCTTTTGTTGTTGTCTAGGGTTGATAAATGGTGCTGGAGCCAATTGCTCTAGCACCATTTATCAAAAAAGGCTCTCCTTCCTCTTTTGAATCATTTTTGCACATTTGTAAAAAGCCAGTTGAGTTTATGTGTGTAGTACCACTTCTGGGCTCTCTATTCTCTTTCATTGATCTGTGCCTCTATCCCTGCATTAGTACCACATGGTCTTGATCGCACTTGCTATATAGTATGGCTTGATATTGAGCATAGGGATTTTCTCACTTTGTTCTTCATCATTGAAATTGTTTCGGCTCTTCTAAGGCCTCTGCCTAGCTTAGAAACTTTAGAATAAGCTTATCTTTCTCTTCAAAAACACATTGCTGGCTAGGATTGTGATAGGAATTGTGATAGGATTGTGATAGGAATTGTGATAGGATTGTGATAAGAATTGCATCAACCTATAGATCTCCCAGGGGAGAATTGACTATGATGTGTCTTTAGTCCATGAACATGGTATGCCTCTCCATTTATATAGGTTTGTTCTGTTTCCTTTTAACTGGCATTTTGTAATCTTCAGCACATAGATCCCATATGTGTTTTGTTAAGTGTATAACTAAATATTCAATCTTCTTTGGATTTCCTTCACATTTAAACTGTTAAGAAATCATTAATTGCCACATTTTTATGAGTTAATTTTCACAAAGTTACATATGCGTAGTTTCTGATTAGGTGAATCTGTTTTGCTAACCATTATATATCTAACGTCCATATGCAGCCTGCTCTGTAGTAAATGTTTAGTATATTTGTTGAAAGGATGAATAATGAGCAATCTTAAGTGTAGCTCTGACAGGCCCTGACCATGTCTGGTGAATACATTTTGGTGTTCGCAGTACTTGGCTCAGTAAATATTTGTGGGATGAGTAAAGCAGGTGGTATGATTTTTATTTTACCAGGGAAGAAGCTGAGGACTAGGAAGGCCAAGGAAGTATATCAGCAATTGTGACTGTCATGTACCTTCTATGTGCTGGACTCAAGTTCTTTTCTACACATATGGTTTGATCTTTGTAACTACTCTGCAAAGCCAGTGCTGTTGGTTTTTCTTTTGATGGCATTATTGTCCTTGCTAATGTCACACATCCTTCTCAAGTACAGTTCTAAAGTCTCTTTACGTACCACAAAGTGTTAATGTAATTTCAACTAAAAGCAAAGAAAGTGGCCATTCTTGTCATGGGACTTTACTGTGGGTAAGTAGATGTGAGATCTTCATTATACTTCTTGAAATATCAAATGCAGTTATGTTTCCTCCTTCCCCCAATCCCATGCCTACTTCAGCTTGGCTCCACAGGTATTTTATGCACTTTCCCCTCTCTCGTATATCACTATTGCCATCATTGACAACTAAGATAGTTCAAGAAGTTTCTAAGTACTGGATAATGTGCAAAGTGTTTGCTACATAGTGGCTCTAGGTGATAAATGATATTATCCCCCACTTTACAGAAGGGACACTGAGGCTTGGAATTATGAAGTCACCTTCTCAAGGTTACACAGCTCATGAGAGGTGGGGCTGAAATCTGAACTCCACCAATCTGATCACAGCATCCTGGCTTTTGGTGGCAATAGGATATACTGCCCTTTCCACGGGAAAACTCAAGTCCAGGGGAAGAATGAGACCAACCAAGCCAGTAGGAGGAGAGGGACCTAATTCAAGTCTCTTGCCTCCCACCTTGCGGCCCTTGGAGAGGCCATTTGCATAATTTTTATGACCATGCACCACAGCTGCTGGCCTTTATGCCCTAAAGACTTACAAATGCAGACATGCAATGCTGCCCATTAAGTTAATAACAGCACTCTGAGAGTCACGCGTTACAATCCCAGGAAGATGAGATCAGCTGAAACATTTTCTGGGAAACCCAACGAGCTCTTTTAGAAACCCCCACTGAAGGGCAGAGCTTCTGGGATTCGCTTTGAGGGCCACTTCCTGGGGACTTGGCATCAGGTCAGAGAGGAGAGGGAGGAGGCCCTGCGCATTGTGTCTCTACGCATGCGCAGCAGCTGGCAGGTGGAGGGTGGCCCAGGGTCTGCACGGCGATGGGCTCCTCCTCTTCCTGGTGGGGAAGAGAGAGGGGGCGGGGCAGCGAGCCAGCGAGCTGGCGGCTTTCTGCGCAGAGCAGGACTGAAAGGGAGCTGGAAGGGAAGGGGAGGAAGGTGGGAGGATGAGTGAGGAGCTCCCGGGGGAGGACTTGGACTCGCATTCCCCCAGTTGCACCCCGTCAGGTCCGTCAAGGGAGGAATCGGCGCCCTTCTTGACAAGGGAGACCAAGCAATGCCTGAGTCCTGACCCCGAAACACACCTGGGGTCAAATCCTGGTGTCCCCATACTCTATTATTTGGGAAAGTGACATCACTTCTCCGAATCTCAGTTATGTGAAAAATGAGGCCAATAGCAAGGCATCACTTTGGGGCTACTGGGAGGCTAAATGGGAAGAAGTGACCAGAGAGCCTCCAGTCCTCTCCCGCCCCTCCCACCTCTGTCCCCCCCCCCCCCGCCCCCAGCCTTCCTCTCGCCCCACTCCCTTCCCGGTTTCATCCTCCTCACTTTTCCAAATATTGTCTGCTGGCTGCTCCCTGTAATCCTTCCAGGTAATGTGAGAACGCAAGGACCTTGCACCAAAGGTCTATCCAGACTGCTGACAGAGATGGGGTCACTTTGGCCAACCCGGCCAGGAGCAGCTGGGGCCCAACAGGCTGCGGAAGGAAGGGGCCCAAGCTTCATAGGGAGGAGGCATTTGGCTGGAAGAGAAGGAGGATCTGGGGCTGTCTGCACTGGGGGCAAAGCCCCTGTAGTGTGGG